AAAAAAAAAAAAAAAAAAAAGGAAAAGAAAAAAAACGGGTTTCAGTTGACTCTTGGCCGATCCCGACCAACAGCTCACTTTCGTCAACTTCCCATGTCCGACGATTTCTGACACACGTCAGAAATGTATCGTCTCCCTTTCTACCCCCCTCCCTTCCCCCTTTTCCAATCTCAAGAGTGACATCGTTATCACACGCCCTAAACTTAATAAGATAAGAATCCACGCATTTCGAGCGATTCTTTCGGTCAACAATAAAAAATGTTTCGCGTTGAAATCTCAAGATAAATTCCTATTCCTTCCTGCACAAAGATATATCGTTTCGCTTACACGCAGTTTTCTTTCATACGGGAGTGATACGCGATTACCCTCCAATTATTCTATTCATCCTCGAGGCTGGTGGTGAGCTGTTGGTCGCGACGCTCTTAAATCTCCCCCCCTCGAAAGAGGAAAGTGGAAAGAATGGTTGAAGCAACGGCTCGCTGTTCCGATCTCCGAGGGGAAAAGAAGACGAATCGTCGGGGGCCAAATGGTAGCGGAAGGTTGTTACAATTTTAGTGCGTTTACGCAAGAATCGCGATCTGTGATATTCTTAAGCGGTACTTAAGCAATTCGAGGGATCGTTCGACGCGTTCGTTTCCCCTCCAAGACCGTTGGATCTTATCAGGATGTTTCGATAAGGGAGGAGGACTCGAAGAATCTCGTCGGAGGAGGGTCGAAACGGCGCGCTCGGATCGGGTCCCTCGCTCGAATCGAAAGCATAAAGTCACGTTAATTGTAAATGTAAATGGCTGAAAACTCGTATGGCAAATAAATATGGTTTATATACAAGTGTGCGTCGTATCAATTTCCCAAAGAGTTTATACATGTGTATATTTCTTGATCGATGAAAGTTTGGATTGGAGGAGATTGTAGCGGTTTCTTTTGATGAAAATTTCTTTTTAAATTTCATATTTATAGAGAAAATGAAATAATATTTTTAGCGCTTTTTTGTTTTTCAAATATAACTTCGTAACGGTGCGGGACATGGGAAAAATTAAAAAAAGAAAAACAAAATTTTTAGAATCCCGATGTACGATATACCGTCGCGAAAACGATTTTCCAGATGAAATTGCGTTCAAACTTGTATCAAAGAATTTAACGTTTCGTTCACCCGGAAACGCGGAATAAGAATGATCGATCGGTGTTAAATTTCGCGATAATAGGGGATTTAGAAAAAAATCGAATGAAAATGGAGGATTATAACGTGTATAACACTTGAATACAGATCAAAGTGGGCTCAAAGTTTGCGGCGAGTTCGATCAGGAAACAGACGAGTGTCTCGACGTTCCTCTGCTTCTAACCCCACAGAATATCCTAGAAAAAGCATAATCGAAACCTGTCAGAAAGTATCAGTGTCGAGAGGGCAACCGAAATATATAAATCCTATTTCACTACGCAATTCGCATTCACGAAATTTCTTACATGAGGGAAAATTCGAGGCCGCACGCCTGTACCCGAGGATGAGTTCCATGACAGATGACCTAACATGTCACCGGCTATCTCGCATCTCCTGATCCTCTGGGTAAGGGAGGGAAAAAAGGAAACGGATACTCCCGACCGAGAATTCGTTCGAAACGAAAAATCACGCGTAATCCATTTTGTTCACCCTCATGTCGTTCACCCATCTATGCGCAGATGACACTCGTCTCTTATGGCAGAATGAGCGCGACACGTACACCATACGTGTCGGAATTCGAGTACGTTCCTCAGCTTCACCCTTCCAGAAATCCCGATTGCCCGTCCCGGTTCATCAGTGACAGGCAAATCAGAGAAGACTCGGACGAATGGGATCGACCGTTGATCGAGATCAGGGCTGTGCTCTCACACTGCCCCCTGCTTGGAAACGAGAAGTAAGCCTCGATATTTATCTCTTTCTCGAGAGAGAGAGAGAGAGAGAGAGAGAGAGAGAGACATATATCTGATTATTCGTATTCGATCCGCGTAGAACGAGGCAAGGTGTTCACGTTCGTCGAAAACGTAGACACGACGAGGAACAGAATCCAGTGACGATGAGAAACTGCACGCGGAAGATCATTATCAGCATGAGGTTCAACAATATCGGCAAGGTTCTGATTACAGATTCCTACGATTATTATCGTTTATTATTATTTTTTTTCCCACCCCCCCCCTTCCTTCTCTTTTTCTCTTTCTTTCTTTTTTTTGTATATTCGCGCGAATAACAAGGTATAAAAAAATGGTATTGCCAGACCGAGATCGAGGAGAAATTCGTAGTGATCGATCACGTGCTGGACCCGTTCACGATGGAAAAGATCCCGCTCCAAAATCCCTACGTGATCAAAGTTCGCCAAGATACTATACTGCAGTTTTATGGGTTGAAATTTCAAAGTGTGAGTATCTCATACGAGAGGCGAGGAAAAATCTTTCTCCAAAGGGAGAGAGAGAGAAAAAAAAAAGAAGAAAAAATCTTATCTCACGAGAGATAAAAATCAAATCACTTTCATCATCATCAGTCGGCGTCGACGGCTCTGCTGATCGGTTACCGTTAGATCCGCGACAAAATTTCTCTCGATCCTTTATCGGATCGCGATAAGTGATATTTCGTCGAGACAAATTTGGTCTGTCCTTTTTTACCATTCGTTGGTACTAGTATCACTACTACTATTAGCAGAGCGGTCGACGAGATCTCGCGGGCAATCTTATTGATCGCGCGGCTTTGAACAAGGTTGTTAACGCAGAGGCGAGGGAAGAGGTGATTAACAACCGGAGCCCGAATTTTACGGGATGCAGCGTTACCGAGCATCCCACTTGCGGCCGATCCTTCATACACGGGAAACCTGTTCCGTTCAGCGAGGTAAAGCTATTTCTCACTTTCCAACGAATCGCAATAACTTTGTCTTTCAGCCATTTCCATTGTTCAAATCGCTCTTTTATTTAGGGGAAATTACACGTTGGAAATAGATTAGCGGAAAATTAGTTTCGCACGATTCCTATTTTATTTCGAATAAAATAATCTCTGATCGATTTTACACGAAATGACAATCCCGTAAATGAATACGGAACGCTTGGCGAGGATTTCTTTTTCCTGTTTTTAAGAGATTATTATCGCCAATTGTTTAAAGATTTATTTCTACATTTATTCGTATCAATTTAAATAAGATATAATCAGTTTTATACACGCTGATAATTCACGATTCGATAAATTCAGAAATCCGAGAAGAACTCTTCTTGTTATTTATATATATATATATATATAGAAAAAAAAAAAAGAAAAAGAAAACTTGGTTATTTTACTTTGATTCCTCCCTGGTTTATTCGCGTAAAACATTATCGATAATGTTTTTATCCCTCTGTTTATCGAGGAGTGATCACGGATAATCCGGTTGCAGGGTTTCTGTTGTTCGTGCAATTCGACGTTCGAGAGACATCATTTGTCCGATTCGAGCCAGCCGACGGAAAGTTGCAGCGGCAAGGCCAAGTCAAACTACGAAGCCGCTGCAAACAAATCTTGCAACAGGTTTCAGAGCGAAAGCGGGTGCATGGATACGGAGGATAATTCGGTGGCACGAGGCCAGCCAACAAGGGGCGAGGCTCCATTCCATCGGAAACCAAACGTGTCTCATTCGTGTATACCTGGCAACGAGACAATCGAGTTCGGAACTTTGTACGACACGCGGAACGGAATCCAGATAATTTTGTCGAAGAAACCGCTTGTAAATAAGGAAACGGTGAACAACGAGTCGAGGAAAAGCGAGGAGTCGGGTTTTCCTACCACGATCCGGGCCAAACAGGACAGATACTACGATGGAAAGGGATTGGAAACAACCAGCGTTTCTTCGTATCTGGAGCTGATCGTTGGAGAGTTGTTGGACGTAACGACAACGGGGGTTGGACGGGCGTTGACGCGAGAGAAGGTCGCCTCGAAGGGAGGAAAACCGATCGAAAAGGAGGGGAATTCGAAACAGAGCCAATCGACGACACCCGTTAAAAATTCAGGATTGGCGAAGGAAGACGGAGGAAAACGGTACGAGGCTAAGAACAATCGCGAGTTCCAGTCGATGGAGAATTCGAAACACGGGGGATCGATGAGAGTGGGGAAAAATTCAGGATTGGCGAAAAAGAACGGAGGGTATCGATACGGAGCTTCGAGCGATCGAGAGTTCCATAATTCGAAAGACGACGAATCGTCGACGGTGGGGAAGAATTTTAGACTTTTGAATGGAAATCGGTACGAGGCATCGAATAATCGAGGATTCCAGTCGATCGGTAATTCGAAATACAAGGGATCGATGAGAGCCGGGAAAAATTCGGGATTCGCGAAGGAAGATGGAGGAAGAAATCTAGACGAAGTTTCGAGCGGACGCGAGTCGATCCATAATTTCAAGCACGGCGAATCGATGACGGTGGCGAAAAATCGAGACGAAGCTTCGAGCAATCGTGAATTTCAATCGAGCCATACATCCGAACACGGCGAATCGATGACAGCGGGGAAAAATCGAGACGAAGTTTTGAACGATCGAGAATTCCAGCCGATCCATAATTATAAATACGGCGAATCGATGACAGCGGGGAAAAATCGAGATGAAACTTCGAACGATCGAGGCGAAACTTCGATTGATCGAGAATTCCAGGCGATCCATAATTCGATCCATAACTTTAAACACGGCGAATCGATAACAACAGAGAAAAATCGAAACGAAGTTTTGAACGATCGAGAATTCCAGGCGATCCATAATTCTAAACACGGTGAATCGATAACAGCAGAGAAAAATCGAAACGAAGTTTTGAACGATCGAGAATTCCAGTCGATCCATAATTCTAAACACGGCGAATCGATGACAGCGGGGAAAAATCGAGACGAAACTTCGAACGATCGAGGCGAAACTTCGAACGATCGAGAATTCCAGTCGATCCATAACTTTAAACACGGCGAATCGATAACAGCAGAGAAAAATCGAAACGAAATTTTGAACGATCGAGAATT